AATGAATAGCTTTCGAGATACTGCATGTATCAAACAATTATTACTAGTGACTCAAAACAATATCTAATCATTCCCCCTGATGAAGTCACGTGACCCTGTGACGATACGCGTAGGGGAGGGGCTCTGACGTCACGACATTGCACTGGAGAGGCTCGGTGATCTGAATACAGACACAGGTAGACAGCACTGCAGGAACAGAGGCAGAGCACATTTATGCTGGACTACAATTGTATACCACTGTGCAACTGGCAGCAATAAACCCCCTTTTTGCACAAGGATAAGACACTATGGTCTGTTTGTCTTCCTTTCTCAATTGAACAACACCCTTTGAGCTGATATAAGGAGGACTGGAAAAGGAAACAGCCCCAGGAGGGGAATTGGGAGATCCTCAGAGAGATGGTCAGTATACCCACTCATGAGCAGCTACAGGAGAACAAATATAAATCCACATCCACCTTCTGAGATAATTCAAGAGCATCATTCCATCCCATCTATCCTGGAAGGATAAAAAGTGTATTTGCCTGGATTTATTCAGGCAAATATAGAGGTGAGCACATAGGGAGACCATTAAGCACTCGGCGAGAGGGAACCAAGAATCCACCTGCACATTTATTTTGAAAGACTTTTTTTTTTTTTTTTTTTTTTTTTTTTTTTTTTTTGAATATATCATAAGCACGTGCACATAATATATATGTGTTTGCACAATATAAATATAAGGATCACAGTAGAATAGAGGAGTATTTCTGATTTGTATATCACTGTACTTTAATAGGCACTATCACCTTAGGATTATCAGTTTATTAATGTCACTTGCATGAAGATTAATATTCACAATGATGTTTTGAGTCACTAGTAATAATTGTTTGATACATGCAGTATCTCGAAAGCTATTCATTAGCACTTTGAAAGTATAAGATATACATATTGGTACATGGGAGCGCGGCACTATCTATTTTGAAAATATTATATATACACTAGCATATGAGTCAGTGCAAGTGCCAGCGAACCTCACGTGAGAAATAAGGACATCTAAAGTCACATATTGAACACCTCATTTCATAATAGCTCACAAGCATTCACCATTTATATTACAATTTTATGTTTAATACCTTCTGCATATTTTACCTGTTTCTTGGTTTGGCTGTTGCTACGAGGCATGGTAGGAACCTTTTTTGCATACACACGTAGTTGTAAGTGTTAAACTTACCCATGGTATAAATAGTGACATTATATCCAATCATATAGGCATAACAAAGAATCTGGGCAGCTCCGATACATGTATCCATGCCCCCTTCACAGTTGACAGGTGTGTGACATCATTTCTGGTCCGTCCTTGAGCTCCAAGATGGTTACACTTCCTTCTGTCATTCGCTTCCTGGTTTCATTCCATTACCAGCTGACAGTGACAATAGAGCACTCCTTTTTTTTTTTTTTATATATATTGTATTTTTATATATTTATGTAATGGTCAGACATTGGAGATTGCACAACACTAAATAGTGCTGTCCTTTTTTCATACACTTTTTAATTGATAGAGTACCCTTGCCTGGATTGACAGAACCCTGGGGCGCATCTGAGCTGGAAGCTTGATGATATTCATGATAAGAGCTGACTGTCATCCTTTTGAGTGAGTTGCCAATTGTCTTTTTTACCTAAAAAAAAAAAAAAAAAAAGGTTTCCGATTACTACACTTAGTTTGGCATCCTCTTGTGTTCCCTTTTTACACCACGGCATTCTAAGGTAGAAATAAAGTGACCCACGTATATAGACAGTGCATGTATAAAGTACATATCTAGCATACATCTAGTTGTCCATATCCTCTTTATCACCATGTGTAGGGTTGCTTCACAGTGATGGTGGGTTCAGTCTCACATGGTCACTCCTAGCTAATGCACAGGTCAATAAAGGGTTTAACTATGACACCTTGGATACTGTATGGATATTTAGGGCAGTTTGTACCTGTGTCCTTTTAAAACTTTAATCTGAACCTTATGACACATTGGGTAATACCATGGACTTATATCAATTACCATTACAATTGTCATATGATGCTGTCCAGGCTATCCTTGTAAGCTTGTGCACTGGTGCTGGCGGGGCCTTGGCCCCTTGTGGCAAGAAAAATGTCATCTTATTTTTAATGGACTGATTTGTATGTACAGTATAAAAATCATTATACAACTGTAAGTATGTACTTTGACATTCATGTAATGTTAATAAAATATGAATATGTGGTAAAAACTTCCTGATTTTGTTATAGATATTGTATACCCATAGCCCTGTGGAAGATATTGATCGAAATGCGTCGGTGTTTTGGGAAATGTACAGAAACAAGCATAAAGCAGTCTATGCATGTTCTCTTCTAGGTTGTCCTTGGGTATACTGCAGTAATGCATGAACAGATGTATATTGTTGTGATGTACAAAGACATGTCAGCCATTATGTGGTTTTTAATATATTTATGTTTTATGCTGTATTAAAAAATATAGATTTTGTGATATGATACAATTGTACCGCAGTTACCTATAAAGTTCAAATGAAGATGGTATTGATTTTGGATGTTGACAGGATAAACCTTTTTGTCCTTGTTAGCTCCTAATTTATAAAACTATGGCCTAAGTCACCCAGTTATTTTCTGGGTCTCATAGCAGCGGCCACAAATGCGCGCTCATGTGGCCTCTCCTGATTTGCCTGTGGCCTTAGATGTTTCAGAGCCGACGGCTGCATAGACTGTCTGATTTTGAGTCACTCCAGACCTTGAGCTTTTCCAACTATTTATGAACAAAGATTAGAACCAGCTGGCAAGTTATTTTTCCCCCCACACCCACCCCAAAGCGATTATTGGCCTTTTATCAGTTTGGTAAGAATTGTGCACAGAAGCGGTCCATTTCCACTGTGGATAAGGCTGTGTCATACCTTAACAAGACACTTTTTGTTTGGGTAGATAAGGTGCCTGTCTTCAATTACCCAACTGATAGATGCTTAGAAACCCTTTCTAGAGCTCTGATCTCTCTGGTGGGTTCTGCCCTTTACCCAATCCTGGCAAAAATTTACTACTTATGTCAAAGTCCCTTAAAAGTGATCTAACCACTGCTTAGGCTGGTCCCTTGTTTGTTGAATGCATAGAGCAAATGGCTGTAAACGTTAATTGTAAGTTTGCTGAAAGCATCACAACTTATTTTTTTTGTATGTGCCTCATGTTGGTACATAAGCAAATTAAACTTTGGCTGGACTGTGGAACCGTTGTAAATAATGCTTAATTCACATAGCATTGAGGGATGTTTTTTCAAACCGGCTCTTGATGATAATATTAACAAGGATGCAACTGGTGGCAAGAGCATCTGCCTTTCTCAGCGGAAGAAGCTTAAGGAACAGACTGTGGCGTTCTCACCTTCTCTGACTGTTAAATGTCCTTATTGTTGTTCCACATCCTTAACCTTCTCATTGTGACCCCCCAAGCTTGACTTCCAGTCCACCTGAAAGGTCTTGCACTCACATTTGCTTAATGGTTGCTGGCTTTAAAGGCATGTCTGTTGAAGCCCAGGTTCTGATGGACAGGGGCATGTTTTAGTTTGTGATTCCTACAATGCTAAACACTAGGAAGTCTTCTTACTTGAAGGTCTTTCGTCGGAAGTGGAAGGCATACTTCACTTGTTGTGACTCTTGGGGGTTCCACTTTCAGAGTATCTCCATGGGGACAATTCCTCTCCTTCCTGCAGCTGGGCATGGCCCAGTATTTGACTGTTAGCAGTATCAAGGGTTAGGTTTCTGGCCTGTCTGTTTTGTTTCAGAGACTGTTGAACTCTTACTTTCTAATTGAGATCTTTGTAGAGGGGGTCTCCCATGTAGCTGCCCCTGTTTATTCTTTGTGGGATCTGAATCTAGTACCCTTTGTACTTCAGAAAATGCCATTTGAACACAATAGAGACATTCCTCTCTTCAATTTCTATTAGAAAGTAGTAGTTCTTGTAGGCATATCGTTCTATAATGTCTAGATGTCTCAGAGAAACCTTCATCCAAGCCTATGGCCTCAAGGATTGGGTTTCACGTTTTCCTGTCAAGGCACATTCTACTATGGTATTAGACAACTTTTTCTCAGATTTGCAAGGCTGCTACCTAGTCTTCTGTTAACACCTTCAAGTTCTACCAGGTGGCTATTTCAGCCCATCTGATGCCAGCTTTCGGCAGCTCTCCCAAACTTCGGTGGCAGTCCCCAGTTTTTTTGTTTTTTTTTCTTGGGCCTGTTCACATTTGTTTGCTGTGGTTTCTATCCTTTACATTGCTTGTAGATGTCTTAAAAGTTTAAGACTTTCTGTGTCTATCAATGAATGGGAAAGACAATTAGATTTTTGTACTTAATGTAAAAGCTATTTCTTAGAGTTTATTGAGAATCACAGGTCCTGCCCAATGTTTATGAACATGCTGTTGATTATGCTTTGCTACAAAACTGAGGCATGCTGGTAGTAGGAGTGTTACCCTGGGTCGCCTACCAGTCTGTTCCTCAGTGGACTCTAAAAAAGGATTTTATAGCATGCACAAAAATCCTATTATACATGAGTGTGCCATCTCATGCCGCTACTATGACTAACCAGTCAAACTTTGTATATGTAAGGGACAGGAAGGAAGGAGCCTATGGTGGGTGTGTTTTGAGACTGAATACCCTAGTTATAAACCGGTAAATAAAAGGGGTTTGTAGACCTTCAGATTATTGAAAAAAGAGAGATAGGTAGGGCTTTGTATGCTTTTAAACCACAGTATTGGGCCATGTAGTGTCAAATAATGCCAGCAGGCATGCCTAAATTGTTCTAGAGATAGATTCTAACAATGTAGGTAGGTATTTACATATTATTTGACAGACCCTTTTAAACCAAATCAGTTAAAAACTGACCCATGATCATAATTCTCACTGGTCATGGAAATATATCTTCTGATACTGTAAAACTACAAATATATGCAGCTTTTTATAACTGCATATTTATACTTTATTTTCTTATTTTCTTTAGAGTTTAGCCGCCGCCTTAAGGAACGAATGCATCATAATATCCCTCACAGATTTAATGTTGGGCTCACAATGCGAGCAGCCAAATGTTCTGTGTGTTTGGATACTGTGCACTTTGGGCGACAAGGTGCAAAATGTTTAGGTAAGTCACTCTTCAAATGAGATTGCTGTGTCATATACCATGCTAACGAGGGCAGCTGTCTCGGTGTGTGGACCCATCTAGTTACTTGCTGGGCAGATTTGTTAACCTGCATTTCTGTTTGTTTTTCTGTAGAATGAATGTCAGGTCATGTGTCACCCAAAGTGTTCCTCCTGCCTCCCAGCTACGTGTGGCCTTCCTGCAGAATATGCTTCACATTTCAACGAGGCCTTCTGCAGAGAGAAAATGAACTCCCCAGGGATGCAGATGAAGGATGTAAACGGTTCTGTGCGACTGGAAGGCTGGATGAAGATACCAAGGTATAAAATACACTGCATGCATGCAGATCAATATTTAGAGCTCTAGCTCTGCCTAGGAATGAACAACTGATTATGAAATATCAGGGTAAGCTCTACGAGCAGGGCTATCTGATTTTTTTTGGTGAATTGTAACTGTATTGTCTCCCTCCAAGTACTGAGCAAGCTGTTTGTTCTAACAATAATATATGCAATAAATAAAAAATAGAATAATATATTTTAAATGTAATTTAGAACATATTTTCTATACTTTATTTGTGTCTTGGCAGAACTAAATAACAAAAATGTTAAAAATATTTATTTTTTGTTAGATAAATATTACAATTTGCATATGATTTTTTTTTTTTTTTTTTTGGAGTTGAAGCTGTCAGCAACATTTCACATGTATTCCAGGAACTCCTTACCTCCTGCTATAAAAAGCATGTATAACCACTTGACGACTGCAATACGTATATAAACGTTGCGGCTTTCAAGTGGGTTACCAGGGTTATGGCTGAAGAATCAGCCATAACCCTGCTACCATTTTGTTCAGTGGACGGCCAGCTTTCTCATGAAGCTGCTCTCTTGAGCTGCTGGATCGCTTTCCATAGCGGCGGAAGGGAACGTGTCCTCCCCCAACCACTCCTCCTGCCGCTCACCAGTGTTTCTCGGGCTTACAGTTAACGCCGGGCCGGGCGGCCCGAGAAATGATCGGACGGTGCGACCTCCTCAAGATGGCGGCGATATGAAAGACTCTATGGTCTTTGATCACTTCTATCATGATGGAGGACCGGAGCGGCGTCATGACATTACATCCGGTCATCGGCGAAAGTAAACTATTTTTTTTTCTTTTTTAAAGCATACGTTCTAAAAAAAAATTTTGGGGGATCTTTTGCTTTTAAAGGTAAAGAAGAGGTTTGGGGTCTTTTTGACCCCAAGCCGCTTCTTGAAGAGGGCCTATCATGCATATTTCTATTACAAGGGATGTTTACATTTCTTGTTATAGGAAAAAACTTGATAAAAAAAAAATTAAAAGAACATTGTAAAAATAAATAATTTTTAAGCGCCCCATTCCACCATGCTCACGTGCACAAGCAACCGCATATGTAAATCACGCACACATATGTAAACGGTGTTCGCAGCATACATGTGAGGTATCACTACGAGCGTTAGAGCGAGAGTAATACTAACATTAGACCTCCTCTGTAACTCTAAACAGGTAACCTGTAAAAAATGTAAAAGCGTCGCCTATGGAGATTTTTAAGTACTGTAGTTTGTTCCCATTCTACAAGCATGCGGAATTTTAAAGCGTGGCATGTTAGATATCTATTTACTCACCATAACATCCTCTTTTATATTTAAAAAAAATTGGGGTAACTCTTGTGGGTTTTTTTTTTTAATTCGCGAAAGTGTATTATTTCCTAAAAAATCCTTGAAAAACTGCTGCACAAATCCCATGTGGCATAAAAAATTGCAACATTTGCCAATGTCATTCTCTAGGGTCTAAGACATACTGGTAGGTTAATTGGATCCTGTCTATATTGGCCCTAGTATGTGTATGTATGAATGTAAGTTAGGGACCTTAGATTGTACGCTCCTTGAGGGTTAGGGACTGATGTGAATGTATAATATATATGTAAAAAGCGCTGCGTAAATTGATGACGCTATATAAGTACCTGAAATAAATAAATAATATTTCCATGCAACAAAATGTACCGCTTTGAGCATAGAAATATGGACATAATCAGACTGCTAGGGAGGTTAAAGTGGGATTAAGATCTTAATGGCTCAAGCTCACAGAAAAGCAATTATTCATCCTCCTCCCACTGCTAATGTTTCCTACAAAGGAAGAGCATGGGTTTGTTCTTTATTTCGGACCAACCCTAGAAAAAAGCGGTCACTGCTGCCCACTGCCACCAACATAGCTATGACTCAGGCTTTTCCTGTCCCACAGCTGCACAAACACAAAGAGGCACAGGGATGCTTGTGACTATATTAGGTCAGTGTTCTTTCTGTGTCACCACCAGTGGGGACACAGAAAACAATAAATCACTCTACTTAAAAACAGTGTTGAAACAAACTGTGACACTACACCCTTTAAGGCATTATTTGGAAAATATGCAATGCAGAAGTTAGTATATTGCTTTCAAAATGAGAAAATGCAATTAACTGAGAACAGACTGAATATTATAACCCTGAAAGGTTACAAAGAAAGCCCAGTGAGTACAGTGTCATACACCATCAAAAAACATTTAGAAACTGGAGTAAACTCTGAAAGGAACAGGTCTAGTAGATCCAAAGCCACAAAACAATCAGAAGACAAGCTTTTGAGGTCAACAGCTTGCATGATTGACACCTAGGAGGATAAATAGCTTAACAGTGGTCAAAGTATGCAAACCTCACTTTTAATTGTCAAAGATAATACTTTGAGCTGTAGGATTGGATGTTTGAGTGACCGTAAGAAAGTCATTGCTAAAAATGGCAAAATTAGAAAAAGAGACTTGTCTGAATGGGGAATTAACCACCAGTGGACTACTGAAGATTTGAAAATGGACTTGTGGGCCAGTGATTCAAAACTTGGACTCTTTGGTTTATCATGTAGGGATTTTGTACAAGTAGGGAAAAAAAGGCCAAAGTGTGTGATACCAACAGTCAAACATAGTTATGTTTGAAGCGTAATGGTTTGTGCTCATTTGCTGTATCTAGAGCCTATGTCATGCACTAGCACCCTGAATCAAATGACCTACCACAGAATTATGCAGCTCTATGCAAATGCCCGCTAGTATATACATAGTTGGTTAGAGATTCACCCTGCAAGATATTAACCCAAAACATGCATCCTTTGTCTGAGCCTCTTCAGAAGGAAAGAATGGTAGAGTTTAAATGATAGAACGACCAACCTAATCTCCAGAGTTAAGTTTTGCCTTCAGCGCTAGATTTTTTTTTCGTTTTGGATAGTGTAAGGGAAAGTTATAATCCATGTCAGTTTTTATTTGAAATCTGTGTCCCATTGTTGAGATTTCCTTTAACTTCTTGTCCCATAGCCAAAACAGAAAGGGATTCCCTGGCTGTCACCATTATCTCAACGAAAGTAGTGTCGCTTTTAAAAGATTTTGTCTCTATTGCATTAAAAAAAAAAAAAAAAAGCTCTTAGTGTAAAAGAAATGTAAAGCTGCACACTACAACATCTAAATACTTAAATGGATACACATATGTACAGAAAAATAGGTGTGCAAATATATAAACCAGTATAAAATATTTTTTTATATATGTGTAAGTATGATTTCCAAATATATTAATGGTTGCAACACATTATATAGATAGTCTAAGGAACTCTTCCGGTTATTCCACTGTGAAGTTATGTAAAACAGCTTCAGTGCACCACTGCAGCCACACTGTGCACCCCAGTGCTTCACTGCTGCTTACCAGAATGGAGTATCTCACTGCTATGAGATCAAAACACGGTTCATTGTCAAAACATCTATGATATTTTTTTAGCCCAACAGTGTCCAACCAATAATAGGAAGAAAAGGATCTCAAGCCAGTATGCACACCATCTCTCAGGCTCCCCTGCACCCAGCAATTATCAGAGAAATAAAGGAGGAAGCAGGACAGGAGCTCATACTGTAGTCGTAAAAGGTTCCATGTTTATTGCACTAAATGGTACTCATAAAATAACTGCAGGGATCGGCATTCAGTACTAGTCAAAACCGAAAATATCCACGATGTCATTCCGCTTGCCGGCCAGAGGTACCAGGGGTTTTACTTTTGGTTTTAAAAGCAAAGGTAAATCATTCTGAACCATATTTGATTTCCATTGTAGAAAGAATGCTGCAAGTGTGATTGTTTTTTTTATATGCAAAAGGTGACTACTTTGTTGAATGAAAAATTCGTAAAGATCTTTTGTTAAAATAAAATTAATTAAAACATCAGTTTAGACACTTAAAAAAGGGTTAAATACAATAAGTCATAAATCATTACAATATCCCTTTTTTTACCGTTGTATAATATCCCTGTTTGTACCTATAGCCATGGTTCACACTGATGTAGTTTCAGATGCATCTTGGATCGTTCCTATTGCACGAAAAGAGAAATAACATTGGTTCCTATGGAGCCATTTCAAATTTATGCAGTGCGACTATGATCCGACTTTGGGTAAGGGTCCTGTGCTATTTTGGTGCGATGCAGTCCGACTGTGGTTCATAGACTTCAATGGGATTGCTTTCAAATCGCAGGTCCCCACCCTTTTGTCATACGATTCCAGCATGTTTTCTTCCCCAGTCTCTCCTCTTCTGGACCACACACGCGCGTGTGTGCGTGCACGCGCGTGTGTGTTAATAGTGAGAGAAAATATAGTTTGCATTGCAGTTGTAAGAGTGTGAATTCCTGCAACTGGAATTGAGAAATGTGTGTCATTAGATGCGGGTGCAGGCTCACAGTGGCTACAGCGTTTTGTGCCTTTTTGCAATTGAAACAATTATTTGGTAGGATGCTGGCTGCAAACACACAAAAATAGAGATCAAAACCTACAACACACAACATCACTTTGCACATGCACATTTTGAAAAGTGTCAAATGAGGTTATGCATATGTACTCAACTATTCAAAGACATGGGCCAGTAATTGAACTTTTCCTCGTGCATGGAGGTTACAGTATATTTGTATGACCCAGAACTGATCTCTATTCCCCCTATATGCAATCACTGGATGGACCCAGTATCTATGCTTTCTCTTCCTCTCACTGTTCTCCTTTTCAAATGAGGCTGCAGCTGTAGCAGTAGCAATTGCTACCATGGCCAAGTGCAGACTGGATACAACAGCTAACCACCACACAGTAGAGAAAAAGCAGGAAGATGAAGCCTTTATTTATGTAATTAAAGATATGAGTATCCATTGTCCACCACAGAAATTGCAGCAGTATCTAAACCATGGTAAAATCGCATCAAGTCGCACTGCAGCTGCACTTGAAAATCAGATCACAATTGCACTTCATCAGTGTAAACCTAGGCTTAATATTATGACAATGAAGTGTAAAAAAAAAAAACTCTCAAGGTTTGAAAAAAATCCTAAATAGGTGGTTTAGAGTTAGCCTGGTTATAGAGAAAGGTTTCTTTGACAAGAATGCAGAAAATTTTGACTGTCTCCCTTACTTTTTAGAAACAATAAACGTGGGCAGCAAGGCTGGGACCGAAAATATGTTGTTCTAGAGGGAACAAAGATTTTATTATATGATTCTGAAGTAAAAGAAGGTATGTCTTGATACTTTTTTTTTCACTGTGGGTAGGGTCTGTTCATTCTAAGTGTCTGAAGCTGGAGTGCCTTATGTAATCCTCACTCTTATGACTGTTAAGCATAGTCTATAAAATTATGTAAATGAGTTAGTTCTTCCAAGTGACAATATTTCCATTTAAGTTTTATTAGTACATTTTATTTGTATTTTAATATTTTATTATGTATTGCATAGCTTGAGGCTACTTGCATTAAAATTCTGTAATGTTAACACATGAATGTTGAGAAATATATTTACTGCATATAGGCAGCCAGAGACCATCTGAGGAGTTTGAACTTTGTCTTCCGGATGGTGATGTCACAGTTCATGGAGCTGTAGGATCTACAGAACTTGTTAATACAGCCAAATCAGGTGAGTATCCATCACTGCAGGAAATATTCATATATTTATTTGCTTGTCCATTCTATGTCTTGCATATTTAGTGCATAAATTCCATATATACAGTAGTTTTGTTTTTTTAATTACCAGTCAGTTTTTGTATGCAGTTATTTATTTTCCTCTTGAATAGATGTACCATATGTGATGAAGGTGGAGTCTCATCCCCATACCACCTGCTGGCCTGGGCGTACACTGTATTTGTTAGCACCCAGTTTTCCTGACAAGCAGCGCTGGGTCACCACCTTGGAGTCTGTGGTTGCTGGTGGGAGAGTGTCCAGGGAAAAGGCAGAAGCTGATGCGGTAAGTGGTAGGAGTTCCTCAAAGCTAGATTTCTGTACAATTCAGTTTAATGGCCATTAATCCTATAACAAAAATGCCTTATACAAATATATAAGACATATCCATTCCCAAAAAACATACGTTTATGCATAGATTCACCTAAATAAAGTTGGATATTACAGAATTAAGAACACTAAAACCAATCAGTAGAATTTTAGTAGGCATACTTTGCAAAATATATAGGCAATTTGGCAATAGTCTCACGTTGATTAGGTTGACACATTCCACTACCCAAGGTGGCAATTTATTCCAAATATATGATTTATTTCTAAAAATGTCAATAAATGTGTATCTAATTGTCCAAGAGTTACAAAAGAGAAACTACAGAAATTGTAGAGGGTTGTACTGTGTTATCCATTGAATAATGCAATAAGTTGGGAGTTTAAGTGATACCTTTTAATGGCTAATTTAAGTTATTACCAATACAGGCTTTCAGAATAACTTAAATCTTTGTCAGGCTTTATGCATAGTATAATAGCAGTGTACCACACACAACCCCTTTACAAATCAATGCTTCCACAGTTGAGCTCCCTAGAGCCCAGTTAAAAACGCTTTCATGCCTCATTTGATCTTTAGCAAGATCCATTATAAAAGTTTAGAGAGAAAAAGCATAAAAAGAGGAAATGGGTGGACAGTACAGAAAAAAGTAAGTGTGAAAAAAAATAAACTAAACCATTTAGGTATTAGAAGCCAGTCTAATAGAATTGTTCCCAGATAATAATAGTAGGTACATCTGTAAGGAATACACAAACTAATTGTGCAGCCCTTTACCCCTGCAGACAGAAGTGCCAAATGGCTGCAGGGTGGGCAACAAGGGTCTAACTTTATATAGTTACTGGTAGTATGAGATTTAATTTGACAGTGATGTGGGTGTATAAATATGGAATCTGCAACATAATGAGGTCAATAAAATATGCACAAAAAATCCCATTACAGCCACATTTTATGGAACACTGAAATATATAGTACATTCTTGACGCTGCCTAGTGCTAACCTTCGTCTTTTCATATGTTTGTTTTCGTTACTTTGTTTTGTTTGATTTGTTAGGAAAAAGTTTCACAGTTATTATTTTGATAAACAGCTTTTCCCTTCAACCATATCATTTGGACACTATTGCAAATACTGTTTCAAGAAGGAATTGGCTATAACAATTTCTGCTCAGTTTTAGGACCGATCCCTAGCAGTACTAACCTGAAAATCCAACAGTGAGTGACATCAATGCTTCAGCTAAAGCTAAGCTACCTTTTTGAAGACTGTGGATGAATTCTTTACAGGGTGGAACATTTGAGATTAAAGTTGAACGAAATACTCTTATCCTTTACAGCCAACAAAACTGCCATCTTAGCTTTTGTTTTGATTTGCAGTTGGTGTGGGGCTCCACATGTGATCAGCAATGACACCAACTATTTGATGGCTTGACAATCTGGTTGAGGGTTAACATAAGCACATTAGTAACAGTTTATCATTCAAGGAATACCTTGAATATATAATAAATATTTAAATTGGTGGATTTGGTTCCCCTTTAAGTTACAGATCCTTAAATGGACATTGTCCAAAGGCTTCAGTTACTGAACTCTTTGAAGAATGCTAGTTCCCTGTCTGTCATTCTGATACTCGGACTTCAGTGTTTTCCAAGTTGCTGCAAGTATAGAGGCACTCATATACAGCATGCTTGTTGCAGGACTGTGATTGAAACGCAGTAAAGTCATACACAGCAAGGCATCCAGAATTTGATTAGGTGTGCAGTAGCAGCCTCCATACTACTCTAATGACAGAGTTACTTTAAGCAGATAGGATTAGTGGTGCAATCTAGTTGAACAGTGTGAGAACTCCCTGCTAGGAATAAGACTTTCAGGGCTAAGAGCTAAGAGTTTCAAAGTCTTAGAAAAACTGAACCTGCCATCATCCATGCAAGCATGAACTGTATGATGTGGTATCTAAACGAAACAACTGCTTGATATATTCGATTTTGGACATTGCTTTTGAAAACAATAAAATGGTGCTTCTTGCAGCCAGCTAGATGGTATCATACAGTACATAATTCTTGTATTTCAGAAACACAGAAAAATTAATTCAGTCATATTTTTATTAAAGGAGAAGTTTGGGGTTATAAAAAAAAAAAACCAAACACACATATTCACTTTAGGACCACAGACTGAGTGATCGCATGACCTCTGACCGTTAAGATCTCAGTGTGCTCCGAGCAGAGAGCAGTGACCCCTTTCAGTTACCCCTTTCTGCTCTATCCCTCCAGCGCTCACTGGAACACTGCGCTGGAGAAGGGTAAACGCAGTTGGCTCCAGATCTCAATTATATAAAGAGAGCCAAAGCCAGCCATCAGGCAGCTGGGTGGATCCTGACAATATGGTCAGGATCCTTCCAGGCAATAGCCTACTATAAGCTGACTCCAGGTCACAGGAGAGCAAAAGTAAGTGCACTCTTGTGACCCACAAGTAAAGTATGGCCAAAAATGCTTTGGTCACAATTCTGTTTTAGATCATAAGCGAAATCTCCTGCACTCAAGGACCCAGGCAGGTGGCGAATAGATGGAAACAGACCTGGAAAGATCGACCACCAATGCATGTAGAGTTGTGCAGCTCCAAATAAGGCTGGGGAAGCCCGACCAATACTGCAAATCGAAACAAAAACGAGAAGCGCACCAACCTTGCGCATTACCTCAGTAACCAAAGTTTATTCATTATAAAATAATACTCACAAACCGCGAATAAACTCAGGCATGTAAGTCCTCAAAGGGACCTGAAAGATAAAGAGCCAGCGCGGATCCCATCATGGGGGTAGATACTCAGTACAGCTGACGCGTTTCGAAGGGCATCCCTTCTTCATCAGAGCTATGATTACTTTGGTTACTGAGGTAACCAAGGTTGGTGCGCTTCTCGTTTTTGTTTCGATTTACAATTCTGTTTTAAACAACCTATGAAATGTCATTTTAAGTGTAACAAATGTAAGTACCTTAAAATGAATTTATAATGGCCTACTGTAATCCCCAGTTTACCAGTGCTCAGACTTGGGAAGGGAGCTATGTTAGCACAAGGAACCAAATGCAATATTCCCAACACACATGTTGACCACAGGCTGGGAACCATAGACAATTCAAATGAAGAAGTGTCTCCAGCACACCAAGCATACATGTGACTATGAAATAAAGCTTTGGATCCATTTTTAGAAATCCTTGGTGTGCTGGTAACATTTCTGCACTTAGCACAAAGAACCAGTCCCACTTTGCTGCACATGAATGCTGACAGGAAAATAGAGAAATCAAATGAGCTCACCGGTGTGTTGCTACTGCTTCATTGTCCAGGTCCTTCAATAGTGCTGTATTTGGACCATGCTGTGCTGTCTGGTACGGTGTTTGTGTCACATGTCTTGCTGCAGAGAATTGAAAATCCTGTGGCAGGTAAATCAGTTCCCTTATTTTGTCTCAAATGTGTATTTAGCTGTTTGCTGTCAGCTTTAATGACAGTTTATGTGCAATCTTTAGGGTTTGGCCCTTTTACACAACCTGCTTTCAAAAATTGCTAACTGTTCTCTAAGTGGCAATATCTTTTGAACAACCTTTCAAAAATTAATTGCAAACAGTGTCTACATTCCCTCAAAAAACATAATACTAATATACATGACTGCATAACCTCCTTCATACAGGATTAGTATGTAACTTTGTGTTGCTCTTTTCATGGTATCAGGATGAGTGTATTGGAGGTAGTAGAAAAGGTAAATATTCCTATGTGCACCGCTGACACAAGTCTGTTGTGATTGCATTTTGTTTTTGTTACACTGACCAGTGTTTTTACACACTCTCCTTGTGTCACTGTCACTTTGTGCCTTCCCTGTAGATTGAATGTGATTTTGTGAATAGCATAAACTATATCTCCTTTTTTTTTTTTATATCTTTTTTTTTTTTTTCAAGTTATTTAAATGATGGTGAAGTCGAAGGGCTGGTTGGGGATAAAGTTTGGGAAAGAATGTAGGAGGTGCTGAGCATTTGAAAATCAGGTCTTCTCTCAGCAGTCTTAAAGGAGGGGATAAAGTAAGCCCTAGGATAATACATTCACTCACTTCAGAGCCCCCTTTCTACTGTTCTGAAGGGCAGCTGTATGCACCTTTAGATCAGATAGAGTTGCTTGAGTATCCAAGATAGACCTGTATGGGTACAGCATCTGCTAGAAGCAGGGAAAGTTGCCATGAGACTGGAATTAAGCTCCATTCAGTGGAATATTCTGCATCTTGACCGTATGAATGATTGTTTTCTTTTATGTGCATTACATAGAAACTGCTTGGAAATTCCCTTTTGAAACTGGAAGGAGAAGACCGTCTAGATATAAACTGCACTATACCTCTCACAGAGCAGGTAAGGAGTTGCACAGTAATCTATCCTCTCTATTGCAGGGTAAATGTGTCAGATGATTTCAGACAATAAAAAATAAGCAAAATATTTTTGTAGAACTGTGTTACCTGTTGGTTCCTGTGTTACTTTTTTACTGTAATTGATTTATTGCTACTTGGAGCCATAGTGTGCCATTTCTTAAAATGTGTGCAGAGATCTGTGTGGGTCCTGTTCTTCAGACCCACGCTGACTCAGCCTGCAAATGCCATTCCCACAACCTGCTTTTGAATCCAGTTGCATTTTCTACCCAACCCTACCTAACACCCACTTTTACAACTGCCATGTTACACAAGAGTTTCTGGGTTATAAAAAGATTGCCAAAGGCTTTCCAAGTTACAGAAAGACTATAGTGACTTCCATTGGCCAGGGAGACACCCAGAGTTATTCAGGGAGACTTTGTGGAGCAGGTGAGAAAGAAATTGGTAAAACTGATCCAAATATATTGCAAAGGGTAGAGGTTCCCAGGACCTGAAGATAAACGTTGTAAGCTTATTGCTGAATTTGGAAGCCATGGGTTCCATGCCCAGCATCTCCTACCTTTTGACGGAGTTCTTGAAACACCCTTGGGTATGGAGACTTTTCCTCCGAGTCCAGACTTTGATGACTGAGGTAGTCTGCTTGCCAGTTGTACACGTCTGGAATGTGTATGGCAGACAGGGCTGAAATATGCATTTCCACCCACTCTACAATCTGATCGGCTACTCTTTGAGCTGTGAGACTTCTGGTGCCTCCTTGGCAGTTCATGTAAACCACTTCAGTGGCATTGGGTCGACTGAATCCCATTTGGGTGACTTTGCAAGTGAGAGGTCCAGTGCTGAAGAGATAACTCAAATGCTCTGAGTTTGAGAATGTTGATCGGGAGCCAGAATTCCTCCGGCAGCCAAATCCCTTACATCGCAAGGGTGTCCAGGACTTCTCCTCACCAAACATGCTAGCATCCATCTCGAGAACTCCTTCTAGACCAGCTGGAGGGGAGGAAACATTTCCCCAACCCCTGGTGTGGGCTCATGACCTACCAGGTCAAGGAAAGCCTGGTCTTGGTGTTCATCATGAGTGGTGGTCCAGTGACTGAGCCTTCTTGTATCATACAGCAAGAATGTTAGGTGAGATCTACCTTGAAAGAGGACACCAGTAAACCCACTACTCTTAGGTATAGGCAGAGGTTTGGTTGACTCCAGGACTGTAGCATCCAAGCATGGGAGTGGACTGTTTAGGGTCTTCCTTCCACAGGAAAAGTTCCAAACAGGCAGGTCTTCAGGTCCTGGGATCCTCTACCATTTGCAATAAATGCTCTAGTGACTAATTTGGATTAGTTTAACCAAATTTCCTGATCTGCTCTACAGAGTCGCAACAAAGTAGCCCAGGCGGCTTTAAAGGCCCTGAAGGCCCGGCCATTAAAGTTCAGTTCCTGAAGGATAAGGACTTACCTGATTTGGTTAACCCTCTGCTCTTGAATTTAGGAAGTTGACTTCTCTTTCTTCCAGACATTGGTTCTAACCCCTAACCTTTCTATAGAAAACTACACATGGAAGCACAGTATAGAGGATAAGTGAGGTTTTTATGCATTAGCATGCAACAAGATTTTGACCTAATCCATTGCTTACATTGGGTAATTCACATGACACTATAAACAAAAACTGTGAACTGGCCCACCAGCAGCTGCATCATATACTAAAAAGTCAACTTAAATTTTTAAATATAAAATGGCTACGTATAGGTAGTGGGGGTTTAGGGCATTTAGAGGTGAAGATTGTATACTTTTTTTTTTCTTACAGATTGTTCTAGTTGGTGCAGAAGAGGGCTTGTATGCTCTGAATGTGCTAAAGAATTCTCTAACTCATATCCCAGGAGTTGGGGCCGTGTTTCAGGTTCATATTGTTAAAGAGCTGGATAAACTCCTACTAATAGCAGGTAATATAATCATTGGTAATATAAAGAGGCAGGCAATATGGCCATAAGGGTGATGTAAATCACAAGGGCTATTTAAGAGCTTTTGTAGATGGGCAGATGCAGTAAGTTTGAAGTCAGATTGATGTTAAGATCAGAAGATGCTTTTGAGTTCTTTTGGAGGCGCTCCAGACCTACCAAGCTGTGTCACCTGCTTCTACATTTCCATTGGTTTGTATCAATGTGAACTAGTGAATTCTACTGTTAATATTTTCTTTTGCATTCCTGTGCTTTATGCTTTTGGAATTTGCTGCCATCATAGGTAAAATAACTGAAAAAAAGTAGATTAATAGAGAGTTTTCTGTTAATAACTACAATCAGATTTTAGAGATCATTGTTTTACTGCTGAGTAGAAAAATGTCTGTTATGATTAAATAAATGAGTAACTTAAGAACACAACATAATGTAATTCATATTTTCGATATTTTCAAAATATTACAAATGTTGAGTGGTCTTATGTGTGATTTAAGGAGAGGAACGTGCTTTGTGTCTGATCGATGTGAAGAAAGTGAAGCAGTCCTTGGCCCAAGCACATCTGCCAGCTCAGACTGAGATAGCGCTCACAGTATTTGAGGCTGTTAAAGGGTGTCATCTGTTTGCAGCAGGAAAGGTGAGTGTTCCATTGTTTCAGAAAACGTAAGTTATTAAACCCTCAGTAGCAAATTGTACATGTAGCACCATACCTCTTAGTATTTTATTGTTGCTTTTGACTCTGCATTGTTTGCGGGACAGCCTTCAAATAAAACTATGCCCTTGATTTTTCAGCCTGTAGGTGGCTCCAATGCCATTCCTGGAGCCATCCTGACATGCACACTCCTGGTAGGGAATATAAAAATTTGCGAAGAGGAACCACTATTACAGCAGACAAGCAAGTGTAGTATGATCTGAGCAAAGGAGGACTCCTGATGCCTAAAGAGCAGGCATGGGCAGGAGTAATCATGAGACGTTTAGTTCATATGCAGAAGACCACCTGACACTATTAGGTGGGCACACATGTGCAGAGATAGAGCGGAGGCTGGGTGGGAAGAATCTTGATGCATGGAGTTCTGAAGCAGGAGATTCCCCGTGCTACAGTAGAAGCTCAGTGAAGTAGCAATCTGGAACCAGTAGCATTGAGGAGTACAAAATGTAAGTGTTTGCACATAAAAATGCTGTAAATAATGTACTGGGGAATATTTCCCTGGTTGGTTAGAATGCAGTAATTCAAAAAAACTTAGTGTGTTTAATACTACTTTAAAGTTTAAAGCTTTATTTTTTTACCTTAATGCATTCCCTGCATTAAGGTAAAAAATGTATGGGTTATCAGTATCGCCCCCTCACCCCCCTTATAGTTACCCAAGTCCTCACTTGAATGCCTGTCTGCAGTGGCTTAGTGTTCTCCCCCTGCTCTCACAGGTTTTGCTGAGGCAGCAAGAGTCATTGGACTGTTGTCAGCCAAATCCTGTGACAAGTGTATGGGGCCAAGCCACGCTGTCTGCGTCTATGGATATAGACAGTGTTGCTCAGGATGGAGCCCGCACAATAGAGGGGTATACGCACAAGAGAAGGAGCCAGGAGCTTTGGCAGGGAACCTAAGAATAGGAGATTTGGGGCTGCTCTGTGCTAGTGAATCTATCATCAGATTTGTTTTTCATTATTAAGTGCAGGCATACTAACGTTGTGTAAGTGTAGCACTTAAATTTATTAATAAATGCAGGAAAACCACATTACTACTGTTTACAATGCCTTCATCTGCTTTTCTCTGCAGAAGAATGGTGCCATCTTTGTCCTGGGTGATCATTTACTAGGGCTATCACATTGTTTATGTATTTTACGTTCTTTGAGATATGGCTTGGTTTGTATTGATAATTCAAGTTTCCTATACAAGCGCCTCTGGTGGGGAAAAAAAAACAGTTTTAAGAGGCATTTTACTTTTTTTTTTTTTTAATGACCCTGAATGCCGCTCCTCCATTGTGTCAAATTGCCAGGAAAATATCCCCCACAACCTTGCACCACCAACCTGAACCAGGACAGGATGGATCCATGCTTTCATGTTGTTTATGCCAAATTATGACCCTACCATCAGAATGTCGCAGCAACTAGTCTGCCCATTCTCCTCTGACATCAGCTAGGCATTTTGTCCACACAACTGCCGCTCACTGGATATTTTCTCTTTTTCATACCATTCTCTGTAAACCCTAGAGATGGTTGTGTGTGAAAATCCCAGTAGATCAGCAGTTTCTGACATCAGCCTGTCTGGCACCAACCATCATGCCACGTTCAGTCACTTAAATCCCCTTTCTGCCCCATTCTGATCTCCGGTTTAACTTCTGCAAGTCATCTTCACCACAGCTACATGCCTAAATGCATTGAGTTGCTGCCATGTGATTGGCTGATTAGCAATTTGTGTTACCAAACAATTGAACAGCTATACCTAATATAGTGGGTGAGTGTATGTATGTCTACATGTCATATGCCCATAAATAAGCGTAATACACACCAATATGTTTTTACGCTACATTTTTCTGCCATCTCCTGCCAGAAAGAACGAGCATAAATGGGAGTATTAAGACATGTGCATGCAGCCTGATACTTCATTGCATTGGAATTTAAGGAGCTTGCTGAAACAAAACCACAATGCAAGGTCAATATATATGTGAAGTAATAAATGTAAATCACTAATTTTCCCCAACTCTTTATAAGCACACTTCACCTCTACCCTTAGAGGTGTACAAATATAAATACAAATATGCTCAGTGATAATTAATAAAAAGAACCTTTCTTTATATAATAATCTCAAAAATCCAAAATCTATAATTTTTCAAATTAAAGTCCAATTTCAAATTAAAATCCAATAAATAAATAAATACGTGTAGTCCAAAAATTGATTCAAGTGTAAAAAACTCTCCGCTGCTTGCAAAACCTTGATTACCTCAAAAAAACAAAAAAATATACATAGTGCATTATCCTTTATAAATAAAAATTTACATATAAAATCAATCCAATAATATTCACCCAAGTGCAAACACGTGTATATATCAAACCACATACACATGCGATATACTGTGCAAAACCATGCATGTGAAACACTCTACTGTGCTAAAAACTCATGACACAGTGCGCACTTCTATCAGGGTAAGGAATGAATACCCTTACCAATGTTCAAAGCAATTTATGTTTTTGATCTCAATCCACAGAGATTGTCTGGTGATATAAATCCTTTAAAAGATGTCCTCAGGGTTTGCTTTGATCCTATGATATTGTATGGATCCTTCCACCCTAGCAACTGAGATATGCTTCCACCATATACGCCAGCCAGATACCCATATACAAGGAACAAATCATAGCGTGATACTGCCACATACTAAGATCCAAAGCTTTTAATTATCCTGCTTACATTAAAAATATCTTTCATCGCACATAGCATATAAAGACCTGTCTGCCATCCGGAATCCAGGAGAGTCCTAATCGCAAGTCACAGCCGATATTTTGCCCTCTCCAAGATGGCCGCCACTCTACTTCCGGTATTCTCGTATGCGTCTGACGTCACCTCCCTTTGACGCGTTTCGTCATTGGACCCTTTATGATTACGTCCAATGACGAAACGCGTCAAAGGGAGGTGACGTCAGACGCATACGAGAATACCGGAAGTAGAGTGGCGGCCATCTTGGAGAGGGCAAAATATCGGCTGTGACTTGCGATTAGGACTCTCCTGGATTCCGGATGGCAGACAGGTCTTTATATGCTATGTGCGATGAAAGATGTTTTTAATGTAAGCAGGATAATTAAAAGCTTTGGATCTTAGTATGTGGCAGTATCACGCTATGATTTGTTCCTTGTATATGGGTATCTGGCTGGCGTATATGGTGGAAGCATATCTCAGTTGCTAGGGTGGAAGGATCCAAACAATATCATAGGATCAAAGCAAACCCTGAGGACATCTTTTAAAGGATTTATATCACCAGACAATCTCTGTGGATTGAGATCAAAAACATAAATTGCTTTGAACATTGGTAAGGGTATTCATTCCTTACCCTGATAGAAGTGCGCACTGTGTCATGAGTTTTTAGCACAGTAGAGTGTTTCACATGCATGGTTTTGCACAGTATATCGCATGTGTATGTGGTTTGATATATACACGTGTTTGCACTTGGGTGAATATTATTGGATTGATTTTATATGTAAATTTTTATTTATAAAGGATAATGCACTATGTATATTTTTTTGTTTTTTTGAGGTAATCAAGGTTTTGCAAGCAGCGGAGAGTTTTTTACACTTGAATCAATTTTTGGACTACACGTATTTATTTATTTATTGGATTTTAATTTGAAATTGGACTTTAATTTGAAAAATTATAGATTTTGGATTTTTGAGATTATTATATAAAGAAAGGTTCTTTTTATTAATTATCACTGAGCATATTTGTATTTATATATGTGAAGTAGATCATAATTGTGCTGCATTTTACATATACATTAAAAGTATTGCCTGATATGTTGCTTATGTTGTCCTTTTTAATAAGAGTATTTTTTGTTTTATTTTCTAGATTGAGAATGGCTTGTGCATTTGTGCAGCTATGGTAAATAAAGTTGTCATACTGCGATATAATGAAAGCCTTAACAAGTTCTGCATTAGAAAGGTATGTATGCCTTTTTCAATTTCCTTTAACCCTGTTGCTGCCAGAGCAGTTTCTCTTGCATTCATTGAAGAACACTTTTTTTTAATTCTGACTGTCGGGTTATAGCGCCACCTTCAGGAGTAAAACTCTAGGCAGAAAAAAAAGAACACAGCACCACCTATGGTGTCAATCTTAACTGATAGTCAGCCCCTCTCTGCCTCGGACATGTGCTTGGATAGTCAGCCCCTCTCTGCTATACACTGATTATTTTTTTTTTTTTTTTTAGTTTTGCCTAGTGTACGAAGTATGGACCTAGCTCCCTGCTTGGACATGTGGTTCCATATTGCCCCCCCCCCTTTTCTTTTTTTTCCTTTTTTCTAGATCTTGACAATCCAGTAATCACCCCAGCCTGGTCAGTGAGCGCATGCAGACTCGTAGCCATGTGCAAGGTTGACTGTGATAGAATGCCGCTGTCAGCGAGTTAACAGGGACACCCCCCCCCCCCTTACACACCCACGCACATTCCTCAGGCGCAGTGGCAGGCTGCAGGTACACCTTGTGGTGGTCAGCTCTGCGGGGTCTCTTCCTCCAGGGGTTGCCTATATCCAGTTCCCCCTCCTCTCTCCACTTCTGTTGACATGTGGATGTCCTGGCATGGGCAAGTGGTGCTTCATCCTGTCTGTGGGCTGGCTCTGGGACCACTCCCCTATCTCTCCGGTGGCACCTGCTATTTGATGTGCTAGTGGCCTGAGGCCATCTTGTTTTAGCCACATTGGTCTTTTTGAAGGGCCTGCATGGATATGTGGTGGTTATTTTGGCTGGGCTGGTTTTGGCTGCCATTTTGGTGGGGACAGGCTCAATGGCCCGTTTATAGGGGACCTTTCCTTGTTCAAGTCTGCTCTGGTTTTCTCCAATGGGCAGCCATTTTATTGCTGCTGGTTATGTTTGTGTAGCCAAGTGATGGGGGCCATTTTTGCAGCCCTTTAATTACAGGGCCTATGTGTGTGGGGTCTGCGTCTCCCATTGGCTCAGGACCAGCTAGGTGCACTCCTCCACAAGGCCTTCCCTATCTTTGTAGTGGACATGCTTCACAGCACTGCAACCCAGGAGGCCCTGGTTCAGTTTTGCCAGCTGGGGTCCCCCTCTGTCTGCAGCAGCCCATTTTTTTTCTTGCTCTTTCTCTCCATGGGCATTGGCTCCCCATCAGTACCTGGGTTAAGGGGGGGAGGGGGGAGTTTGCACATGGAGTCTGAGGAGCACACATCACCTCCAGACCCGCTCCTGAAGGTGGCAGGGTCTTCAGGGTCCTCCATTCCCTTACATGCACCGTTGACAGTCCTTAAGCCATTTATTTCCCAAGTTGAAGTGGCTTTCGGGTGCAAGGTGAGTAAGAAGCGATGCCCCCTGCTTCCACCTTGGATGATTTTTGAGCCAGAGTCCGGCTTGGATGCAGTGGGCCCCACTATTCCTGCAGACCCAGAGGACACTGTCCCCGATCCTCTGCCACAAAAGGTGTTGTTGGTCGCACTTGTTACCTTGGTGCAGGAAACGTTTAAAAATTTAGGTTTTTTTCTGGGTCTTTTTCCTTATCCTAACTATTTTACTACATTTATTTACAAATATTGGGAACACCTGAAGTGTACTTTTGTAGTCCCAAAATGTTTTTTGGGTGTTACCCCTTTAAGGAAGCCCTTCTGAAAAAGTGGTCCTCTCCTGTTATTGACCCTCTCATCTCTATGTTGAACAAGGGAGCCATGATACCAGTGGAGGAATCGCCTTCGTTTAGGGATCCCGTGGACAGGAATGCAGAAACGGTCGCCCGCTCTATGTTTGCAGATGCAGCTCCATTGCTTTCCAAGCAGTCTTGGCTGTGGTGCTCCAGTGATTTCTCTGGCTTAAGTGGTGGTCTGTAATCGAGACATCTAAGAAAGCCTTGGACGATTTACTCTTCTAGGGAAAGTGGCTCTTTTGATTCTACCCTGGATGACATCACCAAGAATTTTATGAGAAGGAAGAGTATCTTTCTCACACAATCCATGAAAGGGATCTCAGTTTGATCTGATGTTCTAGAGGCCAGAGGAAACATTTGTGGTCTAAGAGGACATGTCACAGCTCATGCTATCACAAGGGATGTTGTTCACCTGCATTTGTCATTTATGTCACTTGAGGTGACCTTTTAAAAACCCTTTCAGGTAATCAGTTTAGAGTTAACTGTTAATAATGACCCAAAATTATTACTCTAGCTTTGGCATTCACAGCAGCATGTAGTCCAATTGTCATTCTCGTATGTAGCCACACCCAATGCGTCTGTACTTGTGGGTGGGGTTTTAAGAGATTTTTTTTTTTATTTTACTTTAACTTCTTAAACATTTGTTCCGACATAACGCCATCGCATAGGGGAGAAATAGCAACATAGAATATTTAACTTGTGACAGGCTCTCTTTACTATCAGTAGTCTGTTTGACCCCACAGTCCACTGAAGCTAATGGAGCATAGGTCGTGTTCCATTAGCTCTTTCCTCAGCCAATGCTCCCAGGGAACGATATCTCTGAACCAGTTAGTGATGTAATACACGTTGCTTCATGGTTCATTCACCAGTGGGAGGATTAGTGAACAAATATTCAGTGAGTTCCTTCCATCCTACCCTGCAACTCCTGCCAATGCTGTCCTGGAACTGCAGATGGGACGTTAGAATCTTGGAATACAGTGTGATTTGAAAAGCAACTCCTTATTTTAAAAATCTTATAAGTTATTTTTTGTATTTCAATGGTTTTTATTAATTTTAAACAGTATAAAACAGAGGCAACAAAACACGCCCACGCAGGGGCTATCAATTGCACCGATAGAAAATGTATAATAGAGCAGACAACGCTCTAATTCCAATAAGGCAAAACGTATGCCCACGTAGGGGCTATCAATGGCACATAGGTAACAATAACATCAGTGAAACTCAGATTATCGCAACTAAAGACAGCTGTCCACTGTCACATCAAAACAAACAGAAAAGGAAAGAAGAAAAGCAGAGAAGAAAGAAAGAGAAAAAACAAAAACAAAAACACACACCAGAGAGCAAGGGTCCATGAGCGCCAATACAAAACTCCATCACCTCCCTACACTGGCCGGGGGGAGCGTGGGAAAGGCATATTGCAACCACGGTTCCCATATTTTCAAAAATTTATGTTGAGAGTCATTGCATATACTCGACATCTGTTCATTGAGCATCATAGTAGTCATACGATCCCGCACCCCCTGAAAAAGTACAAACGGACTCTTCCAGGCCTGGGCAATTGTCCTAGTGGCTGATAAAAACAAATAGGAAGCCAATCGCTGCTGACGAGCCAAGAGGCCCGGTATGGGGCAATGAAGCAAAGCATACCGAGCATCCCGGCGTATGGAGAGATGAAACAAAGTGAAAAGGAGGCCAAACACACGAGACCAAAAACGAACCAACCTCGGGCATGACCACCAGATATGCAGTACATCGCCACGATGGCCACAACCCCGAAAACATCGATCACTACAGGCAGGGTTAGCCTGGGCCAAACGAGCCGGCACCCAATACCAACGAAACAATACCTTATAGGCTGCTTCCAGCGTGGTCGTATTAAACGAACATTTAGCTATGAGTGACCAGGCTTTATTCCAGTCCTCCGGATCCACAGCCACTCCCAGGTCGCGTTCCCACTGAACTACATATGAAAGAGAAGTGTGCGACGAGCATCTGTTCAAAGCTGCGTAAAGAAGGGAGATAAGGCCCGGGGCGCCCGGACGCTGCTGGCAAAGCCGTTCAAAGGCAGATGTCTGATATGGGAAAGCAGAAGTGGCCCTCAGCGAGAGTAGCCAGTGCCGCAATTGAAGGTACCGAAAAAATTCCGCTGGGGGAACATCCCGAGACTCCCGGAGGACATTCCAGAAAGGACCAAAAAATCAAAAAGTGTCGCACCTGTGAGAAACCATGAGCCACCCACCAAGAAAATGCCCTCGGGTGATCTAGACCCGGCGGGAAAAAGAGGGTTATTAACGATTGGAAGCAAGGGCAAGAAAGGTGAATAAGTTATTTTTTAATCATTATTTTTACAAAACATTAATATGAGAAGAACACACATAACATGGAGTTTTATTTAAAATTTGATATGTGCACCAGCATTCCCCTGCAGCTTCTGAAGCCGCTCGGGAATCGCATCAACTGATCTTTGCAGGAACTCTTGTGGAATGGCAGAAATAACTTCTCGTAGGCGCCCTTCAAGTTCTTCTAAAGTCTTTGGTTTCGTAGAGTAAACTTGTTCCTTCAACCAACCCCAAAAGAAAAAAAGTCGCAGGGTGTTAAATCAGGGCTTCTGGCCGGCCACTCATGCGGACCACGTCGACCCAACCATCTCCCAGGAAAATGTTCATTCAGCCATTCATGAACAATAATAGCAAAATGTGGAGGAGCAACATCTTGCATAAAAATCAAGTCTTCGATATTCTCCCAGGTGTTGACAACTGGCCAGATTTCATCTTGCAGCATAGTGAGATACCTTTCGGCATTCAGGGTATCGCAGATTTAATTGTCATAGATTAAGGAACATACATTAAAGAATTGAGAAAAAAGTAACTTCATATAAAACATTTATAAATAGTTTAAAATAGGGAGTTACTTTTCAATCGTATGTGGCGAGGGAAGGCGGTATGCTTCGATGCCTGTGGAAGGTGAAACCACCTCTTGGAAATATCCAACAGTTGGCTTATAAAATACACATACCTGGTCTGTTAAAGGAAGTTAAAAAAAAAAAAAAAAAAAAAAATCAGACTTGCTGGCTGTATCACCAGTTGAAAATAATGGAAAAAAGCCTAAGAAAAAAAAAATTATGCAGCCACTGCATTTAAGGATTGATAAACTGCAATATGTTACATAGTTAGGTTGAAAAGAGACACAAGTTCAACCAGCATTACATTTTTATTTTTGAGTTTAATAATGCTTTAACAAATATAGCCACCGAAAAGGTGTTTATTAACCTGAATACTAAACTACTTATATTTAATCTTTATTCATAGAATCTTAATCATCCAGCACAATCAAGATTTGGGTCAAATGGAAGTGTGATTCTTTCCTGCTGTCTTCAGAGGAATGGTTGCAGGGGGGGGGGCTAAAAAGTATTTGGATACAGTTATAGGCTCTAGAGACAGGCTGATCCAGATGCATTATTTATACCCCACGTACCGAACAATGATTGTGTACAATGAAGAGAATCACATTAAATAACTCTTTCCTATCCCTTTTGTGGGATTGCTCTCTAGTAATTACCCTTCTGTTCAGAATTTGTCTTTATTGTTTTTTGTTTCCTAATGTGTTCACAGTGCATGTGTTAAAATTGGGAATATAGGTAAACTTCTAAAGCCTCTTCTACATAATCCCATTATAAGCTTATTTGCTTTTATGAGCATAAATCATGATAAATTCTGGGACTCATGGGTGGATCTGACCTTATAGCGCACATAATCTAGTTAAAAGAAAATATCACTGTTTATATACTGTATGACACTGGAAACCCAAATAAAGATTCAAAGATTGTCATTTTTACATTTTATATTAGATTTTCAATATACTTTGTCAGAAAGTTTAATAAATCTCTGAAATGGATTCATGTTTTATAGGAAATTGAGACGTCCGAACCATGCAGCTGTATTTATTTTACTGGCTACAGCATCATCATTGGAACCAATAAATTCTATGAGATCGAGATGAAGCAATACACTCTTGAAGGTGAGATATGGATGTTTTCATTGAGGCAATATAAAGACATATACAATGACAGAACGAATGGTCTTCTGGTTAAATTTACTGTGTAGCTCAACTCAGGATGTCTGTCTTCAACCATAGTTATCTAGTCAAATTTAATGTATCTTGAAAGACATGGGTAAAAATTGTTTGCACTCTTCTTTGTGCTGAATGGTCAATAAGAATGTCAGACATAGAGCTGCGACCTCTGGCTTTTCTGTTACATTGAAAGGCAGTGAATTGAATATTTTAGATTAACCTAACGCTGGTCTGAATTTTTAGAAACTTTTGATTAGAGAAATATGTACAGTAGGTTAGTGTGGGGAGGTGTTCCACTGGCCACTTTTGAGGCTTGGGAGGCAGAAGAAGTGGAACCAGAAAATATGGTCCAGGATATTGTGGAACCCTGGCTACTGAAACAAAGAACCTGAGGGTACCTATTACATGGTGCCATCTACAAAGTCTGCAAAATTCCAGTTTTATAAGGTCAGCTCATTTCCATATTGGCAGCCCGCCCATCTTTAGAACTAGAGACAGAATTTCTAATGTTATATTTATACATCTAAACAGCTCTGACATTAAAAATATATGTAGCAAAAAGTTTAAGACCAAAGTATTTAACCCTTTCTGACTGTAATCTGTGGAATAATATTCTCAGAACATTTCCCTGTGCTGAAAGAACATTAATCTCTGTACCTTGTTTGATAGCTGGCAGCGTGCACAGAAGCCTGCTGATAGCTGTCAGATTGCGCTGTGCCTGACAGCTGTTGTCTCTGTTACTGATATGGAGCCAATCAGCATTCATAACATAGTAATTATATATGCAATCTTGACAGGTTTGTTTAAGACTCAAAACCCACTCATTCAGCTAAAAAATAACTAAATGCAGATCGTTTTGATTTTGGATAGAGTGGATAGGTTCTAATACCTCTTCTGGTTAATGATAGCCAAACAACAGTATTGTAATATTATTATTATTATACAGTATTTTTATAAAGCACCAATAGTTCGCTCAGCGCTGTTCATTACAAAGGGGGACAGAACACGTGACAGAACAATACCAATAGAATGCAAAACATGAGGGGATTGAGGGCCCTGCTCTTTCGAGCTCACAATCTAGGAGGGAGGGGATAGTGGTACAGGAGGAGATAGCTGTGGGGGGGATGGAGTGGTAGGAAGAGTGGAGGAGGTCGGCAAGTTAGCAGGGGGTGGGGTAGGCTTCCCTGAAGAGATGGGTTTTCAGGGTGCGCCTAAAGGAGAGGAGAGTAGGTGATAATCTGATGGGTTGGGGCAGGGAGTTCCAGAGGATGGGTGACACCCTGGAGAAGTCCTGGAGGCGGGCATGGGAGGAGGAGACCAGGGAACTAGAGAGAAGGAGGTCTTGTGAGAAGCGGAGTGTGCATGCTGGGCGGTACTTGGATATTAGGTCAGTGATGTAGTTCGGGGCAGTATGGTGGACAGCTTTGTACGTCAGTGTTAGGATTTTGAATTTGATCCGTTGCGCAATCGGAAGCCAGTGGAGGGATTGGCAGAGCGGCGTGGCGGAAACGGAGCGGTTGGAAAGGTGAATGAGTCTGGCAGCCGTATTCAGGATCGACTGAAGCGGGGATAGCCAGCGGCGAGGCAGGCCAGTGAGGAGGGAGTTGCAGTAGTCGAGTCGTGATATGATGAGGGAGTGGATGAGCTGTTTAGTGGTTTCTGGGGTTAGGAACGTGCGGATTTTGGCGATGTTGCGGAGGTGGAGTGTGCACGAGTTTGTTAAAGATTGGACTTGGGGCTGGAAGGATAGGTTGGAGTCCAGAATGACACCAAGTACTCTGGCCTGCGGGGCGGGTTTGATGGTGGCGTTGTTGGATGTGATGGAGAAGTCAGTGGGGGGTGGTGTCCGGGCTGGGGGGCAGACAAGAAACTCGGTTTTGGAGAGGTAATATGTGAAGATTTGTGATGAGGCACATTACAGGGTCAAAAGGCAGTTTGCAATCAAGTAAATTTTACGGCAATAGAGTGAAAAATATTGAAGTCAGGCTCCATTCCTTGAGGCTCCTACACCTATCAACAGATGCAGACATTAAAGTGGTTGTAGACCTTTACATATACCCATTGAAGTGATTACCCTCAGGTGATAAACAGGGATTACCAAAAATCTGCCTGCATACATTGCACCTGTTTATCTGCAGCTTTCTCTCCTCTACAACCCTTCATAATACAGCATTCCTCATCATAGCTGCAGAAGGCAGAGTGTCAGGGCTCCAGGTATGACCAGAGGTGTGTGGACCAACACAGGGAAACACAGACTTCAGGTATAGCATGTAAAACAATATAATTTATTAAAGGCAACACAAACATAAACGCAGTGCAACAAACCAAACCCAAAACTAACACAAATACGTACAACAAGGTGCAACAAACCCAAACCTTAACTGATATATATAAATATGGAGCATAACGTAGTCAGGCGGGCCGGGTCGGTAGCTAACGGGCAGACAAGGTACAAGGAGTAGGCAGAAGATTGGTCAGGAGTAGCCGAGGTCGGTGCAGGCAGAGTTCAAGCACAGTCAGGATCAGGCAGGAAGCAGACAGGATGCAGGTACAGGGGCTCTTGGGAACAATACACCAAGGCCCTGACTGCAGGCCTGGCCATTCCTTAAATACACCTCCTGCAATCAGCCTCAGGTGATGGCTTGATTGCAGGAGTGAGCTTCTGGCTGCTGAGAGCACCCGCTGGCCAGCCCTGGTACTGCAGCCCACAAGGCAGGTGAGTCCCACCACCATTGGCGAGTCCATTCCTGACACAGAGGGTTGGGGTCTGATGTCACACACTGCACAGCATAGAGCAGGTAGCTGAGTGTTTTGTGAGACCTGAGTTGGAGGGAAATGCATGTCCCTCTACACAATCTCATAGGGAAGCGTGCACATCTGAGGCTGTCAATTACATGCTGTGTGCTGGGAAGAGGGGGGGGGGTTGTTATTTGGCAGGTCCTCTCCTGAGATTGCTTGAGTAACTGTCAGGAGTGACTTATGCAAATAGCAGAGGAAGGGGAGATTCACATGAGGTGCTTTGGATTGAGGCAAGTACACACTATAGAAGGATATGAAATATGTGCTTTGTTCCTTTACAACAACCTTTAGTATTGCTTATTATAAATGAACTGACGTGTTCCTAAAAGCTATTTTTGTCAAATGAATGTCACAGACAAAAGTATTTACCAATTCAGGAACCTACAATTCCGAATAAAAATTATTTTTTTTGTAAAATTTCTAGACTGGGTTTGTGAAACAATTGTCCATCGTCACAGATAATCTTTTATAACTTGATGAAGCGAGCTTCACAAAATTAGTCAAGAAGTTTTACAATAAATTCAATTTTTGAACTGTTAGATGTTTTGATTGGTTTTTGATGGGCAGGATCCAAGATCTTTTGTGCACAGAGCACTTGAAGTGAATCTGTCACTAAGCAAAATGCCGGAAGCTGCCATTGTAACTCACAAGGTGCAAAATAGTTCCAGTGCACTGAAACTGAACCTATGACTTCAAAAACAAGCACTTACCTTTTACCTAGTATGCAGACTTTGAGTCAAACAGTGGCAGTGTGAGACTTGTTTTTGTTTGTGATAGATTACTCTTAGCTTTTGTAAGTGGCCATTTAAGAGGATGAGATTTGATCAGCAAAGTATACCCATAACTGTACAATGAGGGCTTTTGTAATAAATATTGAATGGATTGTTTAGGTAGACCCTTGCACTGCATGGTTGTAGTTTTTACATTTGCTGATCTACCATCAAACCTAAACTCTTACTGTTGTACTTCCAGCCTATTACAATGGATGATGGTCACGGATATCAAATAAACTACGTTTGAACATGAATATGTTTATAGTAAGTTTTTGTTGTTGCATGTATTAAACTCGTCTCTGTTTTTTCTAGAATTCCTGGATAAAAATGACCACTCTTTGGCCTCAGCTGTATTTGCTTCTTCATCGAATAGTTTTCCGATTGCTATAATGCAGGTGAACAGCACAGGTCAGAGGGAAGAATACCTCCTCTGTTTTCACGGTAACAATATTTGTTCATTTTAAGTGATATTTTTTGGGGTATATTTTATTACTGGTATGGTGTAGTGATTTTCTCCTTTTTTGCTCTGCAGAGTTTGGTGTTTTTGTTGATTCTTATGGAAGGCGAAGCCGAACAGATGATCTGAAATGGAGTCGGCTGCCTCTTGCATTCGGTAAGTGTGTAAGTTGTCTTTTTAATAATGTATGAATATGCAGAACTATAATGTAACTTGCATAACGTTAACCTGTGATTTGCCTTAATACCCTCCTCCCCAGTAGCATATACTTTCCTTTTCCTGCTTATCCACAACTCCTTTCAGCTGCCAAGGGTGGAAAGGTATCCATTGCTTCTACGTATGAAGGAGAATGTGACTCACTCCATATGAAACTACTGGTGCATGGTTTTTGCTCCAGCACTTACACATTGGTGTGGGGAGAACTGTCTGGAGCAACTCAGAACCTTTTTCATTTCGGGCAGCTGAATGGCGCAACAGGGCAGTAAAGTGAACCTGCTGCAATTCCCTTCTTAATCAAAACACATGTTAATTTCAAAGCAGAGCTAAAATCCTTAATACTTACCTCCCTTTAACAGTCCGACGTCCCTCACCGGCATCTTTTACCTGGCTTCTTCCAGGTGCCTGGCAGTGGATGTCCTCTTTGGCCTGGACAGAGTGCCATCAATTGTGCACATGCTCAGGAGTGCAGTAATCCCAGGACACAGGTGCCAGAATGTAACTTGAGCTGCACGTTTGCAGCTCAGTGTACATTCCATACAAGACTGTGAGCAGGCAAATAGGTTTCTTTTATTGCAGAAAAAACATTGCAGAAGAATGCTATTGACTATTTTTTCTACTACAGCAGTCAATTAAAAATTAGTTTTAGCTAGAAAAGGTTCACCTCCCTGTTATGCCATCCTTCATAAGTAGGATGTAAGTATAACATTTCACATTGTGCCTATACACTTTGAATTTGAAATAATATCTACTAGTAAAGGATTCATTCATTTACTAAACATACGACATGTGCCCAACTGATAATTGATTTGAGCTAAATTCGTTTACTTTTAGGACTGTTTTAGGGCCAAATCACATGGGCAATCAGGATCACTAGGAGACTGCTTACCAGACTGTATGGAATCACTCTCTCAGTAGGCAAGTGAGCAAGATGTTGCTCTATTGTTGCCATCTCGCTAGTGAAGGAGATTTGGCAATGCTTGGTGCAAGCAAGGGAGTGATTCCACAGAGGTAAGTGGAAGACTCTTCCTTTGGCAATGTGTCCCTAGTGGCAGAGTCGACAGCCGTTTTAAGGTGGATGTAAAATAGTTGACTAATTTAACAAATCTCTTCTAGCTCTTTGTTTATTAATATGAGTGGTTTTCCCACAATTCATTGTTAGGAATAGCATTATGATCTCATCAAACTGCAGCTGTATTAAAGCAACACTCACTCACAGGTGATGTATTCAGATAGACAATCCATTTTCTTTATTGTTCATTGAGGGACACAGGGTTAATTCTGCTGTCTACAGGATATTGAACATCACCAACAACACTGTTAGCCATATATAACCCCCCCCCCCCCCCCATCTAGATATCTAGATGGAGCATGTTCCCCTGGATTCTGGTTGGCATTTTCCAGCTTGTTCACATTTTGGGCACTGCTGAATGTCTACGGGTTTACTGCTGCACTTAGTCATGTGCATTACCCTTCAAGGGACCTGATATGTCCTTACTAATTTTGCTATGGCTGTGCCCCTGCAGCTTTGACTGCAACATTTTTAAAATAACATACCAGTGTCAGAATTGAGGCCCTGTGTTAAATTTTGCTTTGATGTCTGATGCTGGCTTTTCTGAATGTACCAGTCATTTTGACATTGGTTTCAGCACCTGCTCTGTTGAGTCTATGCGGGCCACACTGCGCTTGGTTGCACCTTTCTACACGCATGTCCACTCTCTCAGCCTTCTCACATATTCCTAAGTTGCACCACCAAGATGGGCTTTATACAGCCTTAGGGCTAATTCACACCAGTCACTGCTTTACAATGCAGCAGCTGGTGTGCGGTTCGGCCGGATCAACCCTGTGCTGATGTGCCGATCTTGGCGCATCACGCTGTTTACCATCGTTTTTTCTTTTTTTTTAAACAAACTTTATTGAAATGTCCAAACAAACATCCAATGGCCGCACATCCAGTAAAATCATCTTTCTTCTTCTAGCATATTCCACAAATATGACAGGGATACAGGACTCCAGCTTTATTGAAATGTCTCGCAGACTGGTCACCGTGTGATGAGAGATGATGTGGATTGCCTCACACTGCTCTGCCCTGCACACCACCACTATTTTAGCACATGTTGCCAGCAAACCATCACAATGCAGTGGTGTGAACTGACACATAAGAAGACAAGGCATTTTGTCTTGTCATGCGGTGGGACTGCGCTGGAATAGACGTCCAACGCAGTTCCACAGCATCTGGTGTGACTATATCCTTTCAGTAAGGAGATCACAGTTGGCCTGTGAGTACCCCTTGCAGGGCCTACATATTTGCATTTGGCAATATGCTGACAGCCTGGACAACTGTCTTCTGCTAAAGTCTTCACCAACTCCCCCCACCTTGTTCCCTCAGGCGTGACCCTCTCCTCTGCTTCCTGCTATACAGTGAGGAATTTTTGCAACCATGTCAGGATATTATGACTAAAATATTATGGCAGGACAAGGATTGCAACCTGTCCAATTTAGATAAGTTTGTGCCTGCTGCACTACTGCGTTGATGGCTTACAGATATCGTGTGCCTGATATCTAAAATGGGTCTTCTATTGGTACTCATGCAAAGGATCATTTGGCTCCAATGCTGGTCTGCCAAGCATTAGTGCAAAAAACGCTTGTTGCATGAAACTTTATCACTGTCATATGTCTCTGCAAAAGAAGCTGGACTTGGCTTCATGGTTTACAGATTTAGCAACAAACTTACCAAGTTTGTCTCCAGGTCTAGGGTTTCTCTGGTTATTGCAGTGGATGCTCTGGTGGTTGGATCGGTTCAACCTGATCTATGCCTTTCCTCCTCTAAACACTTTCTCTGTCTGCTTCGCAGAGGTAAAGTAAAGGGTATTCCAGTGATTCTCATTGCACCCAACTGACCCAGGTGGATATGGTTCTCAGACCTCATCAGACTCCTGGCAGACTCTCTGTGGGCTTTCCCAGATTGCCCAGATCTGCTGTCCCAGTCGTTGGCTTTAATGGCATGGCTATTAAAGCTCAGGTTCTAAAAGAAATGGTCTTTCTGACTCTACGCTCCTAAAAGCTAAAAATACTCCTCTTGCCTGCCACTGTAATAGACCCCAAAACAGCAGCTGGATATAGCATACCCCTATGAAATATTGTTTTCTAAGAGATTTGCTACAGATTAACTGTAGCAACCTGCCTTCTCTATTTAAGGGCTAAGCTTGTTTTTTCCTTTGTTGTTTAGCGTACAGAGAACCATACTTATTTGTTACACACTTTAACTCCTTGGAAGTGATTGAGATTCAGGGGCGTGCTGCTCTAGGGTAAGTTGTTTTGTTAAAACAAGTAAATTAGGCTCAATAAACATAATATTTGGAAAGTGGGAAATTAAAGCGATTTGTCATTGCAGTGCTCCGGCCAGGGCCCATTTGGATATTCCAAATCCACGATATCTGGGACCAGCGATCTCCTCTGGTGCCATTTACTTGGCATCTGTTTACCAGGATAAATTGAGAGTAATCTGCTGCAAGGGCAATCTGGTAAAAGACAATGCAAACGATCTTCATCGTGCACCGTCAACAACAAGGAGGTATGTGTATATATTTATATATATATATATTTTTCCCCTGGAGGATTAAGCCAACCAATACATGCCTTTAAAATTCCTAAGTCCACTACTTGTTGAGTATGTTTGGGCATCATAACCACTTGCGTACCAGCCTGTCTTGACCCTTTCATCAGCAGACCATTTTTCAGTTTCCAATAGTGTGACATTTTGACTGGCAATTACTAAGTCATGTAACACTGTATCCAGTTAATTTTATTACATTTATTTGAGACTGATAGAGCTTTCTTTTAGAGGTATTTATTAACTGCTGCTATTTTTTAATATATGAGAATAAAACAAACAAAAAGAAAACCGGTCCCTGCCAACTTTCTGTTAAAATTATATGGGAGTGTGAACAACCCCTCCTTTTTAGAAAGTAGACACCTCAAGGTGTTCTGTGTTTTGCCACATGTTTTAGAAATGAAAAAACAAATGCTGTTATTGAGGGGGGTTAAAACATAGAGGTTGGTAATGGTGGATTAGATATGGCGCACACAGAGGGAAAAGGTGGTGAAGAGGTTAATCTGCAGGTCACATACAGTGGGAGGATAACGGTGAAGGAGTTAATGTGCAGGATAAGCGAAATGAAGGGTTAATATACAGTTCACATAGAGAAAATGGAAATCAAATATATTGAACGGATGAAAGGGATATAAATTTTACTTACTGCTGCGGTGATTGCACCGTGTTCAGGAATTAATGAATGACTCATTCATCCATTAGTTACTCTCTTCTCCCTTTCCTTTATTGTAAAAGAATGAGGAGGGTGCAGAGATGTAAACATACACTGTTCATATTATGTGGTTGCTGTGACTGGACTCTATAACCAATCACAAAGAGTGGAAGGCTATGCAAAGTGTCAGTGAATGAAGACATCCAAGGATATTACCGTGCAAACTTGTTTCCTGCTGGGGCTTTATTGGCAAATAACTATCCACCACTTCAGTTTTTAAAGATGTACAGTGGTATTGAAGTAGCTGACGCATATCTCCATATTTTTAAAATCTCCACCACTTGTCCTACCCCTCTTATGTATCTATGTTTAAAAATTCCCTTAAAACACATCTTAATCCAGCAGTATTCTGGCTGGATATGCGATGTCCCTTGGTCTTTCCCGTTCTGCTCCAGCATCCATAGGGGACGTTGACATCAGTATTGTTGTCTATGGTATTGTGCTATGAGCCTAGGCTGACCTGGTAACACACCTCCTGAGTTGGGGGGGAGTGTACTCAACAGCCTGGGTTCACAGGAAGCAAGCTGAATCCTCTGTTTAATTTGAAAGAGAGCCAGTGAATGGAACTGGTTTTTCTACTAGGGACAGAACTGGAGAGAAGTTATTGTATCAAAAACTGCTATTTTTAAAACTTACGGGCAATTTATTTTTATATTAGCAGACTTTCTAGAAATATGTCTGTATTCAGTTACCGAATATTGTATGAGCGTGATTTAATTATGAGCATTCATAAAGCATATGTTGTATTTCATTAGTTCACTTACAATGCTTGGTCAAGTACACTGAAAAAATAAAGTTTATAATAAGTGAAATAGAAAATTGCTGATCTGTGACTATCTTTTTGAAAAAAAAAAAAAAAACCTTCTTTTGATATTTTTAATGCGCGGTTCATACTTTTTTGCCCATTTGATCTCAGAACATGCGCAAATACTAAAAGGAAATACAGTGTAAAAAAATATTGTTTTTGCTAAGATCACTTGTAGACTAGCCAGCCATTTGCTCTATGTAGCTTGCAGTACCTTTTGAGACATGGGGACAGATTAAAATAACAGAATATTTAAATGTGTGTATGTTGTCTGCTGCAACCAGTAAGATTACAGCTGTATTTATCCAATGTAGTTTACGTAATGAAAATCTTTCTTGGTGACCACTGGCAGTGTCCTCCTGTCTTTTATGAATCGGTTTCCAGAATGAATCTTCATTTGTACCTATATATTGTAGCTCAATTAAAATAGCAAATATGACTAAAAAGATTACAACTAATGGAATGCATGCTCTGCTGCTTGCCTGAAAAAAGACTTCACATTTTTTGTATTGCAGTCCAAACAAGAGAGGTCCACCTTCCTATAATGACCATATAACAAAGAGAATAGCAGCTAGCCCTGTGCCAGGTGAGGTCCAAGGGCTAGTGCGGGAGCCTAGTACACCACACCGCTATCGAGAAGCGAGAACTGATATGCGCAGGGACAAGTCTCCTGGGAGGCCTTTGGAAAGGGAGAAGTCTCCTGGGCGACTTCTGAGCACAAGAAGGGAAAGATCACCTGGACGATTGTTTGAGGACGCTGTTAGAGGCCGAGTAACTACAGGGGGAGCGAGGACTCCTCTCTCACAAGTTAATAAGGTAAGATATATCCCAGTGTTTTCTAGTTATACATAGACCTACAGTATAATAAAGATTGTGAAGGTGATGATATTGTCGCATACATTTAGTATGCAAGGACATGTTATTTGCATTGGTATCTTCACCCAAAACTGATACTGTAGGTTTTGTTAGTTGCTAAAGTTAAATCATGTGGTGTTTTCCTATTCGTCTAGAGGGCTTTTGTGGTACTGCTATCTTTATTTACCAGGTTTCAACACCTACTATTTTGCTTTTATGCAAGAGGTTTTTTTTGTATTAATGTGTCTGTTACTATACCAATACAGCATTACAAAAGTAAAATTCATTCTCATTGAGGTAGTAGTAATGTTCACAGAAATAGCAATATAGCGAGTATTCAGAAGACAACTGCAAAATGTCTTATTAAAAAAAAAAAGGTATAGCACACAGGGCATAAGTGGGAAAAACAGGGAGAAAATATTGTCGGCACAGACAGCACACACAATGAAAAAGCAGCTTTGGAAAGGACTCCAGCCTATAACTGAAGTATTTGTTTTGGTGGCCTGAGCCTTTAAACATATGCAGTACATCTTTTCAATACTTGAACTTTTCATTAATGTTTTGTCTCTTAATATAAGTACAAAAAATTCCTCTATTTAACCTGCCAAAAATCCAGTAAACTTGTAACTACAGAATCCCTTCCCTCTATGTTATAGGGATGAGTAGAAGGGAAAGTGTACTATAGTGTAAACCAGGAGTCAGCAACCTAGGGTGACAACACAGTTCCTCCATAGGTACAGTAGTGAGTGTTGTCGCCCTAGGATAGGAAGTGTGTTACTGGTAGTATTACACAGAAAACAAGCCTGAAGAAAAACACTAATGCAGGCATGACATCCAAGGACTGGTAAGCTGTAATATATATAACTCAGAGTTTAATACTGCAAGGTAGAGTAGTAATTACATCACACCAGGGACCCTAGCAGAACAAATAACTGCCTGCATGGAAGAAAAAAAAAACTTGCATGTACACTGTGGCCATTGGGCCACCTGGCATAGATTATTATTATTTTGTGATCCCTAAATTTAGTTTTCACAAGTTAAAATATTATTATGTTGTATTCATTAGCCAATTAGAATAAACACTGCTAACCCACTTTTATTTTATGTACTATGCTTTGTGTGCTAATATACTTTTTCTCTATTTCTTCTTCAGGTTTGGGACCAGTCTTCTGTATAACTATAAAGGACCCGTGTCTACAAACAACTGAAGCCAACATGACGGAATGTTTTAATGTCTGATTTATACAGGCAAATGCTTTTTTTATATCCAGATTGTAGCGGACCACCTTAACTTTTTTGTGCTATCACAAACCAACCCTCAGCTCTGCGTCTCATATTCCAGATTGCACCTTCTGTAATATTTTAAACTGTTTATTTTCTTTGTTTAAGGAATCGTCCTCCATTTTTTTTGAACTTCTGTTACAGTAATAGGTCAATAGGCTCTGGTTATAGTTACTAGCTATTACTAGTATATGGAATATTTTAAACAACACATGCATTTTTCTTTACATGATGCTAAGTATCATTTATATAGCTTTGCATTAACTCTAGCATCACTGGTAAAGGCACAGCTTTCTGAGAGTTTTTTACAACACCGAGCACACTACACTATACAGAAAGTGCAAAAAGTTATGTGACACTTACTATATCTTCTATGCTCCGCTGACTTTCTTCTTAATGCTTCTGCTACCTCACTTGAAGTCAAGATTTTTGCTTTATAAACCATCATGTTTATGTTCCAGGGGTAATATGTCTGAAAAGGTGCTAAATCTTTTATAGGTTCACTGAGTAAGAACTAATATTGGATCCTCATTTTTCAATTTTCAATTTGAGAAAGTTTGTAGTCCCCCTAATTCTGATAAAAATGTGTATATGTGGTAAGCTGGACTTTGACTATGTACATATAAATATATATATAAAAGTATATATTTCTGTTGCTCTGTTATGCATAATGCATGAAGGATATGTCACCCAGGAAGCCTCAGAACATTCCTGATTTACGTAAATGTCACATTTAATCTGTTTAATTCGGTAATGCTAACTAACTATGCCCTGTCCCAATCTGCTGGAGATGTATGTTAAGTGTCCCTTCCAATGCTTCCTTAACTATACATGAGGATTGTATATACTTTATCAGAAAGTTTATATTCATAAAATTGAATATGTTTCTACTTTTCTAAGGTAAACTGTGCATTTTTGAATTTTGCCTTTTGTGAAATGCGTGAAGGGCACAGGCAGACAAGCACACTGCTCCTAGATCATTGGTGTATGAACTCAGGAGGTGCTTGTTCGGTGTGGAATGCTTGATTTACTATGCTTTGCTGCTCTTTGCTAATATTGTAGAAAACAAAATAAATGCACTTAAAAGCTTCTTACACATACGGCCTGAAGTAAAATATACAAGACTGTCAAATTACTTTTTTATGCAGTACATATAGGTAGAATTTGCACTATAAGGCTCCAAGCACACTGGCTTTGTGTTTTGCCTGTAGAAGCAGCTCAATGTTATGCTATGTGTCCATGCACATTAGGACGTTTAGAGGCATGCTTTAAAGGGGAGTTCCACCTGAAAAAAAAATAAAATAAAAGTTAGCAGCTACAAAATCTGTAGCTGCTGACTCTTAAAATACAGACACTTACCTGTCCCTCGGTCCAGCGGTGTCCTCACCACCGCTAGTTTCATCGGCCGTCTTCTCTCCTTGGCACCGGCATCTTCAGTGTGGGCACCCAGCTGTGATAGCTAAAAGCCAAGGCGATCGCAGCGGAAGTGGGAGCGGGTACCTGTCAAATTCAGGTACCCCCACACTCCCAAAGGTGCCAACCCTTAAAGGGAGAGGGGGGGGATAAAGGCTTAAAGCGGAACTTCCCCTTTTGGGTGGAGCTCCGCTTTATGTTTAGCGTTTAAAAAAACCTGGTTTGCATTTTTAATTGTAGTTTTCTGGCAGAAAAAAAAGCTAAACGCACCTAAACATTGTACAAAAACACTCTACATGAGTGTTTTTTTTCTGCCAAGGGAACTGGCATTTTTTAAGCCCGGTGTGCATGGAGCCTTGTAAGTTATCCATCATCATATACTGTATCACACTATGTTCATTTAACACCTGACGTGCAGTCATATGTGAAAATGTGGACATCCCTGTTTTATGATTTTTTTAAACTGCCTGATTTATGGATTTTTAAAAATATATTTTTATTATTTGTATAAGAGAAATGTACAAAATGGTTACACATCCTTAAACAGCCAGATTAGTAATCTTAAAGGGTTGGAGACAATAGCAAGACATAGAAGCGAAGGGGATTGAGTAAGGAGCAGAATCAATCAAATTTTACCATGCATAAAGCGATGCGTGAGAGCCATATTGACCAACATGAGTGTGAATGCAAAGATATAAGAGCACAAGCACAGAGTGCAGGAAAGTGTTAGTGGTATAAAAAAATGTAATAAAAATTTAATAAAGAACAATATCCACTATGATTTAGATCAGAGTTCTCCAGACTTTCTAAACAAAGGGCCAGTTTACTGTCCTTCAGACTTTAACCTCTTGCCTACAGGGCACTTATATCCCCTTCCTGCCCAGGCCAATTTTCAGCTTTCAGCTGTCATACTTTGAATGACAATTGTGCTAAACAAACCAAAAACAACAGAAAATTTTGAAAAAAAAAGTTTTTTCTTAGTTTCTGTTATAAAATTTTGTAAATAAGTGATTTTTCTCCTTCACTGATGTGTGCTAATGAGGCTGCACTGATGGGCACTGAGAGGTGGCACTGATGAGGAGGCGCTGGTAGGTGGCACTGATGGGCATTAACAGGCATCACCAATGGGCACTGAAAGGCAGCACTCATATATGGCACTGATAGGCGTCACTGACTGGCACTGTGAGGCGGCAGTGATTGGCAGCACTGATAGGTGGCACTGACTGGCATTGATAGGTGGCACTGATTTGTACTGATAGGTGGCATTAAAAGGCAGCTCAGATGGGCACTATGCGACATTGATGTTCACTGGTAGGCACTGATATGTGGCATTGATGGACACTGACAGGTGGCACTGATGGGGCTACACTGATCATCAGGGTACACTGATCATCTGTGTCCTGATGATCAGTGTACATGTCCCCTATGAGGAATGCTGATTACTGGATTTCCTCTCCTCACGAGCTGTCAGCATGACAGCTCGTGAGGAGAGAAATGACGATAACAGGCATTTCCTTATTTACATGCGATCAGCTGTGATTGGACACAGCTGATCACATGACAGAGCCGACGTCTTCGGCTCTTTCCATTGATTGGTGATCCGCTGTGTCCGAGGGACACAGCACACCATCGATCGCCATGCTGCTCTCCCCCTGGGGCCGCACACACACGCGGTTAGAGTGGGAGGACGCCATCCCAGAATGAGAGAACTGCCTTGTGCCCATCATTTCCTTATATGGTGAGCGGGAGGCAGTTAAAGGGGCCGGACTGTGGCCATTGAGAGTAGAAAACGTCCTGGTGTTGGTAACAATGCCCATCATTGGTGTTCATGAGAGGAATATTGTCCCATCATTGGTGTCAGTGGGAAGAATAGTGCTCCATCGTTGGTGTCAGAGGGGGTGTAGTGCCCAACTGTTGGTGTCAGTGGCAGGCATTATGTCCATTATTGTCAGTGGGAGAACGCCCGATGGGAGGGGCGAAACGCGTTGACGCATTTCCGGTTTGTACTCCGTACGTCTGACGTCACTTCCGGTGAGTGGAGCGCACGCTGAGCGGTGCGTTCCAGCGGCCATCTTTTGGGATCTGTATATGCGGTGTCTCTGTAGAGCTTCTGCTGAAACCTGGAGCTGTTTGTGAGATTCCGTGGGAGGTTGCCTTGCATCTACTGTTCATCTGAAAGAAGCTGATCCTAATAAATATGCCTTTTTAAATTGAATTGAATGTGAGTGACCTTAATCCTTGATTTCACTTATGAATGGTGTCTTACAATATTACACTATCTGAGATTTTTTTCTCCCTGGTCGGATGGTGGAGCCTATGGTGGAGAGGAGGATTCCTACAGAGTGGATACGAAAAGAGGGTGTAGGATCCCATAAAATTCCTAAGAGGCGTTTTTTTCACCTTTATCAGTGCATTTGATATTGGTTTTCACGGGTGGAAGGTGGAAGTTCCTCTATATTAGAAGAAGAATTTGAAAATATTTTTTCTTTTCTTTTTTTCTTTTTCTTTTTTGCACTAATATTTTTTGAACTTTGGTTTATTTTGATGGACTTTACCACTGATTAATTTTTCACTTATGTTTGCACTTTGTAATATTGATTTCATGTAAAGGTCTATGTTTGCGCTGTTTTTTTTTTTCCTTTTTTTTCATTGTTTGTGTTGATCACAGTGCACAGCAGCAGGATAGAACCTGTATTAGAGTGTTTTACTAGGCGCAGGAAGAATTTTTAGTATATTATAGACTTTCTATAGACTCCAAAATAATTACAATATGGCAGTATTATTGATCTGTTTAATTGTGGTTGTAATCTTACATTTTTTTCTTATGAGTACTAACAACCATCATGGTTCCGCTAATGAAACACCAGGCAGAACACATTTTGGTGAAACCAGTTCGAAAAGTGATAAATAATTATGCATAAATCAACACATTTCTTAATTGTACATCACAAGACACAGGAAATGGTAATTCTTAGACAGCTGGGTTATGCTCCATTTCCAGGTGATTAATTACTGGCAAATTAAAAACCTTAAAGTGGTTGTAAATGTAAAAGGTTTTTTAACTTGATATTAAGGGTAAAAACCTTCTGTTCACAGGATCTCCCCCAGGCCTCCTAAATACTTACCTGAGCCCGATCTCAATCCAGTGCTGTGCCCTAGAGCAGCAGTGCTGCTTTCTCCCTCTCTCTGCACAGGACAGAGAGGTAGCAGCGGGAGCCATTGACTTTTGCCACTGTCAATCACAGCCTGTGAGGAGATAATAGGGGGCAGGACTGAGCTGCGTCCTGTGTTTCTATCTATAGAGACACAGTGCGTGGGTCGGGATCAAGCTGTGCTTTAAACTCAGGGATTACCATTTTGGCGTTTCTGGCCAGTGTGTGATAGACTGTGCAAACTTTTGCAGAATTTTGACTGGATCCCCAATCTCCGAAAGTTGATGTTGGATCTATTACAGCGCCTGGAGCATTTGGGCCTGGTCCTAGA